AATATTTATGAAGGACCATTCTCATTTCTACTCACCCTAAGGTTCTTTGCTTTCTTTGCATATGTGGGAACATTGCCCAGAGTATTGGGATCAGAGAAGAAATATATAAAGGCAGACTCTATGAATTTTTCTCCATCTGTGAAAGATTCCTCCAAATAGAAAAATACAATAGTACATAGACATGAAACAAGAGCAAGAATTAGTAAAATCTAAGAGCTGCAAGAGATCATCTTGTTCAGGCCACTCTTCAGGGAGCTGATTCAACCTAGCAAAGCATTATTAAGTATCTGGGTGCTAAGGATACATGAGTGGATAAAAGATAGGGATCCTTGCCCTAACTGATCTCACATGTTAGCAGTATGCTAGCAGTGTGCTAGCATGCTAGGAGACACATGGTAAGCAAGCTGTATGGAGAAGGTGAAAAATGTCATGGGGGAAATGCAGAGCAGGGTGCGAGGAATAGCAAAGGTGACAGAATTGCTGCTTTATTTATTTTTTTAAAATATATTTTATTGATTTTTTACAGAGAGGAAGGGAGAGAGATAGTCAGAAACATCGATGAGAGAGAAACATCAATCAGCCGCCTCCTGCACATCTCCCACTGGGGATGTGCCCGCAACCCAGGTACATGCCCTTGACCGGAATCGAACCTGGGACCCCTCAGTCCGCAGGCCGACGCTCTATCCACTGAGCCAAACCGGCTTCGGCCAGAATTGCTGCTTTAAATAGGGAGTTAGGCCTCACTGAGGGGATGCTATTTCAGTAAAGACTAAATCAGCAGAGCACATGGAAGCTCTCTAGAAAAGACCCTTTTGGGTTCATTACTTCGTCTTGATTGGCCATTGGAGATTGATTCAACCTCAAGGCCTTCTCCTGTCCCCAGAAATCAGGACTCAAAGTTCCAGTTCTCTAATCACATGGTTGGCTTCTACTGGCAACCAGGTCCCACGTTGGGTGAGATCCAAAAGTCACCTCATTTACTTAACAAGAGATACCATTGTTACTCTCATCATTTAAGAAAGTCATTGGGATTTGGGAGCTCTGTGCCAGGAACGGGGAGGAAGGCCAAATCTATATTTCTTCTTATAAATCACAATATCACAGTAACCTAGCTGTGATTCCGTTTTTATGGTATAGTGGAAAGCAGATGTTTATACATTTAACACATACATGGTGGGGCAAAAGTAGGTTTACAGCTGTTCGTATGGGAAAATAATACAATAATTAGTAAATAATAATACCAGAGTAACCTCTGTGTTTTGAGTACTCACAACTGTAAACCTTCTTTTGCCCTGCCCTGTATTTACTGCATGCCTACTGTGTGTCAGGCATTGTGCCAGCCCACAGTGATTGGTGAGGCTCTCAGGGAGCTCCAAGTCTAGAACTGTACTATCCACTACTTAGCCACCAGCTACATGTGGTCCTGAGCACTTGAAATGTGGCTAGTCCAAACTGAGGTGTGCTGTTTGTGGAGAATATGTAACCAGACAACCAATGGGTCTGCGCTGCCTGTCACTGCTTGAGCCAATTAAGCAGAGACAGAGTTGAATCATGTATGAGTGTTTATTCCATTCATGCTGGAAGTATGGGAAAGCAGCAAGTCATCCACAAAAATCTGCTCTGCAACCCCCCACAAGCCAGCTGCTTATATTGAACTAGAGGCCCGGTGCACAAAAATTTGTGCACTTGGGGGGGGGGGGTCCCTCAGCCCGGCCTGTGCCCATTCACAGTCCAGGACCTCTTGGGGGATGTCCACCTGTCGACTTAGGCCCACTCCCCAGGGGATCAGGCCTAAGCTTGCAGTCAAACATCCTTCTGGCAGCCAGGGAGCCCTCGGGGGATGTCTGACTAAAGGCTTAGGCTCCCAAGGGATCAGGTCTAAACCATTAGTTGGACATTCTTAGTGCTGCCACTGACGTGGGAGAGGCTCCTGCCACCACTACTGCACTGGCCAGCTTCTGGCTGAGTGGCACTCCCCATATGGAAGTGCACTGACCACCAGGGGGCAACTTCTGCATTGAGCGTCTGCCCCCTGGTGGCCAGTGCGCATCATAGCAACCGGTCATTCTGCTGTTCAGTCAGTGTGCATATTAGCCTTTTATTATTATTATATAGGATGTCCCTATTTCCCCTCTTTTGCCCCCTCTACCCAGCTCTTGCCCCCCACTTCTCTCTGGCCATCACCATACTGTTGTCTGTGTCCATGGGTTGTGCATATATTTTCTTTGGCTAATCCCTTCTTAAATTCACTTCTTTAAATTTTTACTTTCAGATAAGTGCTTATAACTGCACTATTTTATATTTTCTACTATATCATTTAGAATTAAGATATTTTTTTTTTAAATATATTTTATTGATTTTTTACAGAGAGGAAGGGAGAGAGATAGAGAGTTAGAAACATCGATGAGAGAGAAACATCCATCAGCTGCCTCCTGCACATCTCCCACTGGGGATGTGCCCGCAACCCAGGTACATGCCCTTGACCGGAATCGAACCTGAGACCTTTCGGTCCGCAGGCCGACACTCTATCCACTGAGCCAAACCGGTTTCGGCTAGAATTAAGATATTTTTTAATTGAACCCTTGTAAATTTTAGCACAATTTAATAAATTATGCTAGAAGCAATTAGGAGATTTTTCATGTAATGCAGATACATTTCAATTAATATTTTATTAATTTTTAATTTTTTAATATTTTAATTTGAAATAATCTTATACATGTAAAAAAAACCCAATAAAATACTACAGCATATTATATGTACCCTTCACCCAATTTCTTAGGTGTTAATAATTTAAACATAACCATTATACAACTAACAAAATTTGGAATATATTTTTCTTATAATCTCTTTAATGTTACTTAATCCATTTACTTTGTTTTTGTTAATCTTCACCCAACGATATTTTTCTATTGAATTTTAGAGAGAGTAAAGGGAAAGGGAGAGACACATTGATTGGTTGCCTCCTGCACATGCTTTGATAGGGACTGGGGATCAAGCCAGCAACTGAAGTACATGTTGCATGTGGCTAGCCAGTTGTCCCAGCACCATTTGTTGGAAAGACTATCCTGTCCCTGTTGAATTATATCAGCACTATTGTCTGCTGTACTTAATTTTAACTTATCACTAACAACCCGGTGATTTCAGTGTCAGCATGTGTTAGTTTTAGTTTACCTGCTTAGTCCTCAGTGAAATGTTTTGAGTTGTCAGAAGAAATCATGTTGAGCTTGAAATATCTGTATTAATGTTGTTTTAAAATTCATGATATCATTTGGTTTATGTTGCATTGGGTACCGATTTAATGTCATAATTTTCCTGGATGAAATAAAAAGTGAACTAAGCTGAACAGTGATTTCATTTTATAGTCATTACTTTGTGGTAACATTTAATCATATTCTGGTAAGGGCTTTTGGAAGGTGGTAGTTTTCAGGTCGATTGAATTGAAGTCTTGCAAGATGCTGTTATTGACACTCTCTGGCTCCCAGGTTTGCTCCTCTGTGCTGCAGAGACCGCTCTTCTCTCCATGGCTAAAGAAAGCAGAAAACGTTCACTCTGTGCTCAGCTAGACATAGCCTCCATTTCATTTCCCTCTTAGATCAAGGTCTAAGCAAAGCTTTTTTGTAGACGAACACTTCCTATACTTCCAAACTGACTTATGAGTCAGTGATCAGAGCAGCAGCTGCACACTCCTCCAGTGTCATTCTTAAAACCTATGTCTGTCCCTGGGTGCAGAGTAGTCAGGTGCTGGGCAGTAAAAGCTTTTTCTCCCCACTGTGGAAACTCTCATTCTGTAGGTTTCCATAAGGAAATGTTCAACGTGCACCAAACTCCAGGAGAGTATTTAAGAAATTAATGTAAAAGGCCATGGTGTTGAGAATGACCTTTCTTTATATCTTTATAATGGAATTTTCTCTAGTGAAGAATGTCATGAGCACGTACGTTTTCATTGCCAGGCAGTAGGTCACATCTTTCTCATGCCAGCCCTGCTCAGGCCATTCCTGTCCTGGTCTCCTTCTTGCCTCCAGTCTTGTTTTGGTGCAGTCACTGACCTTTTCAGTGGGGTATTCTTCATCTTTGTTATCCTCAAGGAGCTTGAGTTTTGGTGACACAGCCTAAGACTGAACAAAGAATTTTTTTTTTTTTCCTTCCAACTACCAAGAACTCCTAGCTATCATGACAGCTGGCTAGTCAATTGTTTAATTTCACATACTGGAATAGTGTTTCTAGCTAATGTATCAGACCCGCTTTTTTCTAGCTTTGGAAAAATTAAAAAAATAAAAACTAACTGCCTATTGTTTGTATTAACTCTTCACTAAGTATCTACTAGCAAATCCTGAAGTTCTCATAAAATCTAATGCATCAAAAGAAAGGCTGAGAAGTGCATATGCCTTGCCAAGAGCCTTACTGGACAGAGGCTGGTTTAGAAGTAATGATGGATCCACCGCTCCCCCCCTCTTTTTTCTTACTGTGTTCCTGCCAGGTAATGATGACTCGGACATCGACATCCAGGAGGATGATGAATCTGACAGTGAACTGGAAGAGAGACGGCTGTCCAAGCCACGGACAGCCATGGAGGTGCTCATGCAAGGTACCAGGGCTTCTTTCCCTTGGCCTCCTCCCTGTGCCTGTCATCGAACACCACGGCCAGAACTGGGTCAGGGCTGCTTGGTAGTAAGGCCCATAAGCACACTGTGAGTGGCCCTGTTGTTTATCAGGATTTGGCTCTTAAACTGCTCAGTGGTCATCTTTGTCACTAATGCTCTTATCTGGAGTCCCAAGAAGGGCCAAGTCTTATTTGTGGCTTGGCGTTTCTCACAGAGTTTACAGGAACACACTGCCTCTGCCACTGAGCTACATTCTGCCCTTTTTGGGTCCAAAGTGTTCTCAGTGCAGTTGATACCTTATAGTCAGATAATGTCCAAAGAAGGGACTTACAGAAACATCTCTGCCATTTAAAAATGTTCTTCTAATTTCTACTTTCTCGCTGTAACAGATTCAAGCAATAAAATGTGTGGAGCAAATCTGGGTGAGAGGTCTTCCTCATGTTTCACTCCCCACCTTAGGCCAGGGCGTGTCCTTCCAAATTGCCTTCACACACACACACTGAAACATGGACACAAAGATCATCTGAAAGGTGTTTTTAATCGGAGTGAGACCAGACTATGTGTATGGTTCTGCAATCTGCTTTAAAAAAATGTGAATATATTGAACTCTTCTCATGTCAGTAAAATATAGATCTCCTTCTTTCTTTTTGATAGCTGCATATTAGTCCATAGTATGACTGTACCTGTAATTTACTTGGGCATTCCCATGTTGATAGATACTTAAGATACTCTTTTCCCTATAGATTTTTCTGCACATCTGCAAGTGTTTCTTTAGGCCATGTCATTAAAAGTGGAATTCTTAGGTCAAAGGTTATGTAAATTAAATTCTGATAGATACTACTAAATTGCCCTATATTTGCCTTTAAAAACATTTCTTATCTACCACTTATTAATTTTTGGAGAACAGTTGCATTTTTATATACATAATAAATTTAAATGGTAAATGATCTTCCATTTGTCATTTCATATTAACTTTTGTTAACTGTTTTCTCTTATTTTAGGTCCACCTATCTTTACTTATTACAGTTTGCTTTGTTCATAGGATAGTTAGGTGCTCTGATTTTTTTATCTTTAATTTTTTGACGGCTTCATGACATCAATAGAGGTTAGAGGTTATGACTCCTATTCTACCATATGGGAGCCAGGGCTCTAAAATGGTATGTGAGTAGTTCAGCAAAACCTAGTAAAGGCACCGGTGCTCCTAAATTCTACTTCTGACAATTCACTGCAGAAGTGAAACAGCACAAGATCTGCATTTTACCTGACCCAAGGAACAGTATCTATAACAGCTCCTGGTCGTCACTCCAGGCCTGTCCTGAGTGAATTCCCTTCTGAGCTGCCCTCACTGCCTTTCTCCGGAGGCCTGGACCTGCGGTCATGGGTGTTCGCTTCTCAGCCTTCAGGTATGAGAGCAGCTCTCTGTCTCCACCCGGTGAAGGATGCCTCTGAGTCTGCATAATCACATCTAGACTTCCAGAGGAGGAATTGAGAACCACTCAAATAATGATGATGTGTTCAAAGATGAACTTTTTAAAAAATATGTATTTTTATGATTTTAGAGAGGAAGGGAGAGGGAGAGAGATAGAAACATCAATGATAAGAATCATTAGTCGGCTGCCTCCCTAAATCACTTTAGGGAAAGTGATTTTCCCCTAAAACATTTACAGAATGCATCTTTATTTTTCTGATTTATGATACATGCTTACATTTCACTGCCCTTTTCTTTGTTTTAATGTGGAAATGCAGAAAATCCGTTACCATTTGTCAGCAGTTCTGATTAGTTGGGATGCTACTTAAGTGTTTTAATTTAATTTAATTCTTCTTTTTCCCAGTGTTCTAAAGCTGTGGTCAGCAAACCGCAGCTCGCGAGCCACATGCGGCTCTTTGGTCCCTTGAGTGTGGCTCTTCCACAAAATACCACGTGCGGGCACACACATACAGTGCGATTGAAACTTTGTGGCCCATGCGCAGAAGTCGGTATTTTGTGGAAGAGCCACACTCAAGGGGCCAAAGAGCCGCGTGTGGCTCGCGAGCTGCAGTTTGCCGACCACTGTTCTAAAGGAAGGCAAATCTTAAATGCTATTTTATGCCTTATTTTACAAGGTTTTTGCAATTTCTTCATGCTTTTATTCTCCCCAGGAAGACCTAGCAAACACATCGTGGGCACAATGCAAGGTGGAGACTCCGATGATGATGTGAGTCCCGACCAGCCCCCTTTAGCAGTTGTATTCTCTCTAGTCTTGGGCTGGCCTCCGTGACCGCATTAGCCAGGACTAAGCACGTTTGACCAGCTTAGCGTGAGGTGTGGTTTCTCAGCCCGCATCACTGGATTTGTGGCAGTTTGGCCTCCCAAGAAGCTGGACTTTCTTCTTTGATTGTTGATGGCTCACTTCTTTTCAAATGAACCTGCTTCCCCTACTTTTTTCCCCTCTCATGTTCTGTCTGCTCTCACTTTCCAAAGATGGAAGGAGCACCAGCTCTGTTAGGTAAATGCAAGACTTCCAGCTCCAAGACGCAGGTTGGTTTTCTTTTTCACCCCATCCGTCCGTGTGTGTGTGTGTGTGTGTGTGTGTGTGTATGTGTGTGTGTGTCTGTGTCTGCTTGTTCAGAGCCAGCAGAGAGCCTTCCCCAAGAATGATGCTTCTGTATCCTGGGCAAAAGCCACTCAAAATGGATCCCACAGTGAATGGTGAAGTTACCTAGAG